ACAATGACTGGATAATATTATTGTGATTGACTACATGCTTATGACCAATCCAAAAATGTATGGTAATAATACGTACAGACTTGTTGTGACTGACGACTTCGATGTCATTGTAGTGACTTATCAAGCAACTCGTTCTTTTCGTATACTCTTCATAGCTCCTGTTCGACCACCATTGCGCCACGTTTCCCAGCTCGTTGTACAGTCTGCCGGTGTTGTCGTAGTTGTGAGATAGTTCGTGTCCAATAGTACTGCCCGTGGCTCCATAATTTAGTGCCCTGTCGACAAGAAGCATGCGTTACTATGATGACGTAATACTTACAACATAAATATTATAACTTCATTTATCGCGTTCAGGTGGCGAATTGCAGGTGATAATGGTGAACATTTGACTCCCAATAATTTTGTTAAACATGCATCCCCTCGTTACTTACTGTATGTATATAAATTAGAGATTTGCTTCAAAGTCTGCGTGATTTCAGTGGAAAAAAACTATGAAAGTGAAGAAGTTCCTTTTTTCAGTTATTCCATAAGACAATAAAATTACAGTATACTGTATTACTTTAAAACAACTGTTTGAAATACCATACACTGGAGGTGCCTACCATCCTCAAACTCCTTCTTCCATACCAATCAGTGCATAATGTGGATAATAGGGTTATTTACTAAGCTATTACATTAGTTGGTTTGGTCATTTTATTGCGCATGAAGCATTTATAAATACGTATATAGTCTTAACAATATCTTGTATACCTATTTATTGTTTAGTTTTGAATAATTATTTATGTTGCAGCCTATGTCACTCATTTGTCATTTAGCTTCAATAAATACATAAATATTCAAATTTGTTTTTTTAAATGTATAATTCCATCCTTCACCAATTATAGGTATACTATCATTAGTTTTTACCTATACACTTAATATACTTTGTATTTTTGTGTTCGTGTACATTCTATTGGAAAAATCGGGGTATTTGCATATAAAAAATTCTTATTATCTGATTGGTAAATGTGGGCTCTGACAAATTTAAATTTATTCATATTTTATTTATGGGGGGGGGGAGGTTGTCGAAATGTCTACCTAGGGAGTCAAATGTCCTGCTCTGAAGCATATAAAATCACAAGGAAGTCAAATATCTAGTGAAGTAGATTAATGAGAATCGTATTATGTATTTATTATTTAATGTGTTTACTCACTGTATGCCATTTTTGAATAACGGAGCTTGTAATATTGCCGCTGGCATGACTGGAATTCATTAATATGAGGATTATTTTAATCGACTGAAGTAATAGGCTTTCAACTTATTCTAAAGACAGTGTAAATAATCTGTAGTATTTGTTGTCTCGGATTTACGAGTAATACGGATTAATAATCCGTATCACTATTCATTATTATTTATTGCGATATAAAATTACAAAATATTTACACTTTGTCTAGATCATTGATATGATTGTGTAATGTTAGATATTAGAGCAAGTTATTGATATTTTTGATAGAATTCAAACATATGCACCTTATCTGTCATTTTCGATGTTTATTAAGTTTAAAAACGATTTTTATTACCACACAATGTGCAAAATATTATAATTAATAAACTTCTCTATTACACGTGTGAATAAAATCATAGAAAAAAAACTAATGAGAAGAAATACAAACAGTCAAATTATTGATTTTAAAGATTTTCATATTATTACATTAGTTATGACGAACATAAATTATAACAGTATTATAAAAAGTGCATATCAAATTCATAAAATGGAATTAGACAATAAATAATAAGATATCCGGAATATAATCTCAGATGATACTTAATATTGGTCTAAAACTTACAAAATGCATTCATTGAATTATAACAGTACGCATTAACTTCATCCGGAGTTACATCCCACCTAGAAAATATTATGTCTTTAGAATGTTAACAATCTACTATGCGTAATAATACATTTTATTATCCAGTTTTGAATTCCCACGTAAATGTTGAACACAAAATATAAATCTTACGTTTGATTTTCCCAGTTTCTATCTTCTGTTAAATGTTTCCAATTATTCGCCATACTAAACAACGAAATCGATAGTATATTCTCTATGTGGTTGTCTGTAACTGTCAACTGAAATAATAGTATATTAGATAGCTTATTACGTAACTACTGACATTTCAATTTTCCAAAATTCACAATTACTTATTTATTTAAACGTTCTTACGTTTTCAAGTAAATTATTTATTATTTTGTCATAATTGTCTGGATATCCGAAAAATGTTTTCGTATTGGCTAGTTTTTGTAAAGTAGCATTTTTCGTTTCATTGTCCATCCAACTCGCTTCGTTCACCATTTTACGTAAAGCCCATTTTATATTATCAGTCATTTCGGTTAACTAAAACAAATTTCGCAATAAATATTTATATATTTGATTTTAAGCCTAATTTATTTATTATTTTAAATATACTTGCTGCAGCTTTAGAAGAGTTGTCTAACGTGTCTATCATAGAATACCCGGTGACCATTCCAAAAATTTCACTCGTCAACGAAACACAATATCTAAAATAAATTAAAAATATATTTAGATTAATGGAAATTGGTAATTGATGGTGACAAACAATTTCCATAGACACAAAGTTTAACTTACTTGGAATTCAATTTTTCTCCAGATGGAAAATGACTATCCAAAATAGTTAATAATTTAGTTAGAATTGACATTTCTATACAAAATTAAAATTATATTATACACACATGCGCCATACACTAGTATCATGGCAAATTAATTATTATGTATTACTTATTATTATTGTAGGTGTTTGAGATAATAATTTAAATACGTCATTTAAATAATCCCTGTTGCTTACTAAGAGTTCATAGCTATTAGCATTTCCCGATAACAATATTTCATACACTTTTGGTTGTATATTACGAGTTAATTCTTTCAGATATAACGTCCAATTGAACTATATATTTTTTTCCACGAAAAATAGATTTATTTAAAAATATATATATTTTATATTTTATTGAAAATTTGCTCAATTACCTTAAATTTCTCTCCGACTGTATCTGTAAAATTTTGAAATTCTCCAAGTGTAACTACTTCGGGTATTTCATTTTTAAAGCTAAATGCATTTCGTTGAACCTTTATCAGTTAAAATAAAAATAATTTATTTAAAAAACAATGTTTAGTTGAATTATAAATAGAGTACATTTTTATAATCGTAATAAACATATTACCTCAATCAATTATAATATTTAACTATTTTAATATTTTTTTATATACATAATATAATATATACAATTTAAATTATAAAAATCACAAACCAATAGTAGTGCCTGATAAAATATTAATTCTATAATTTAGCGTTATTTAATGCAAATATACGATTTTGTTATTAAATTACTTGTGAAAATTTGTCTTCAAATTCTACTAATTCATTTGTTGTGTTCGTGAGATCTTCAACTTTAAGCTTCCTAAGATATGGTTGATCACGATTTAATAATTTGTCAACCAGAAAATTAAAGTATTCAGTAAATTTTGGTAAAGAGTCATCAATATCAACTTTATTTGTTTTCATTTTGTTTCTGAATAAAAGTTTAAATTATTATTATTTTTATTAAATATAAATTAAATCTCAATATTACCTTATTTTGTATTTATTTGATTCCCAAATTTGATCAATAATTAAAAGTGAATGTGATGATGAATTCCTAGGATCATCATCAACATTAATTTCGAAAAACATATCCAGATTAAAATATAATTTAAGTCTTGCTAAAATTGTTTCAATTTCTAATGGGACTGAATCATTTAGGTAGTCTGTATTGAGCCCAACTTTTCCCCAAACGTCTCTTAAAGGATCGTAATTTTTTGAAACTTGATCTGTATTAACAAATTATATGAATTATTGTACGGATTTATCTAATAAAAAAAAAATGTAAAGCTTGAAGCATTTTAGCTGATACCTTCAGTAGAATTTAAACAAGCTTGGTAAAATTTTCTAGTTTTGTGAACTGCATTAGGTTCGTTAATTTCATTTTCTTTATCGAGAAATTCTAGTGGAAAATATGTGTACGTTTAATTCTGATTAACACTTATAATTAAGACAAGTTTGTAGCTCACTTACTCTTCACCCTATGTTTTATTTTTAAGGACATTATTGTTATCCAGCTATTTTCATTTGTATCTGAATAGTAAGGATAGTTGGTTTCAAACATACCACATGCAAATTCGTAAAAATCTTCGCATGGATCGACAGTTTCATTCATACAGTTTATTAATGATACGGCTGAAAACAATATTAAAATATATTTTTAGAATAAAATATAATTGTTTGTTATTTTAATAGCTAATCAGTTAAATTAATTGATAACTATCAAGCGTACGCGTCACTACTTCGGTATATTGCCTATTATATATCAATGATTATTTAGTTTATTCATTAAATTATTAATAGCTACTTTTATACGTAAATAACATTAAAAAAAAAAGTTAAATATTATAATAATTAATTAACCATATGAAGTGTCATTAATGGGTGGCTCTTTTCATAGGTTAACATTTAACTTAATAATATCTATTAAAAATGTACATAGTATCAGAATAAAAATGTCGCATTACTTCATTTGAAAATGTACAATATTGTATTATACGATACTAACAAATATTATTTCTGGAGTTAATTGTGTGACCATGTAAAGAATACTAGTTTTTGAGAATACGTACTATATTAAATTCAAAATTTATAACACTTATGATTATATACTATAGTCTATGAATAAGTCATATAGTATCATGATAATTAATAATGTACTTAAATCTTAATCACTAAAAGGATAAATAAATAGACGTGATAAACCCACAAACCCTCTCCTTGTGTCATCATATCATCCATATAACCATATCTAATTTTCTATTACAAACCACTCTCTAAATTAAAAATTGAAGAATTTTTACTGCTCAAAAATGTGGTAACAGGTACACAATAAAAAAAAAAAAACACATAAAATTGTAATTTTTATAAAATTCTCGCTCCACTCAAAATTAAATAAATTTAAAGAAATGTTCTGATGGATGTAATTTATTGTAATAAATGATAAATGTATGATTTGACTTACAAGATTGCAAACATGACTTTGTGTTACAGACCGAAAACTGTTGCCCAAAATCTAAGACAAATAAAAAAATCAATTAGTTGACATATTAAACTACTATTTGGTATTACAAAATGTAAATATTTGGTAAGCACATAATAAAAAATTGTTTTTTCTTTTTATTATCATTCTTCTATTTTTAAAATATGTAAAATTCTCTATGATCCATTATATAAAAAAATACCAAGATCGTTAACAAACYAAATATTTAATACTATATTTTTGCATGACTTACAAGAATGATAAATGAAAATTGCTGCGAGGAGCAAAGCAATTACTGTAAATATGCTGATGGAAATATTTCTTTTGCTATAAGTCTTTTCAAAAACGGTACTAAACAAAAATCATTAGTTTAAAAATAAACTGATTAACGWCAATTAAATTTATATTGTTATTGTTGTCGTAATAATGGAAAATGTTGTTTTATATTTATAAAGAACTAGGTACCTATATAGTAATATTGTGTCATATTGTGTCATATTCTTTAATATTTTATAAATTAATTAAATTTAATTGAGAATTGTATAAATACATTAGAATTTTTTGTCAATTTGTGTGATAACAAAGTTCCTTAATAATAGGCAATAATCAACAAAAAAAAAGCGGGTAAGTCGTGGATGTCATTCAGATGTACAGTAGGTTACAAGTGGGTTACAAGTGGGATGGAATTAAATATGAATTCAATGATATTATATCATTGTATACGAAAAACGATTTTATCGTCTTATCTGTCTAGGATATACGAGTATTATAGGTAGAATATTAAAAAAATTATGAAAACTTAGATTTAAAAAGAAAATTTTTAATGAATTTCTAGCTTAAAATAAATTGCGAATTTTCATGATTTTTACGTATGTTGTCAAAATTTAAACTTTGAATGCTTGTAAAAAATAATTGTGACTATGAATTTTTTTATTTTTCAACTGCTAATCTAACAATACCTATGTTAAGAGCCTTGTATTAAATTTTCAAGCTTTTCTACCCAACAAATAAATTTTTATCGATATTAATTATAAAAAAAACTAATAATGATCGAAAATTGTATATGCCTATAAATAGTTCAACTTAAGTCGATTTTTTTTGGAAATTGGATGATGGATAGAAAATACTTATATAAACAGTCAGTGAAATTGTGCGTTAAATTTCCCCATTTTTCCCTTAATTTTTAGTTTGTTTATCCCAATTATTTATAATAGTGAGAATTTTTTACTTTTGAGTTTTCGACCCCCCAAAGTACCAACTAGATTCACTTTTTGATCGAACGAGGTAGTGAAGTCGAAAATCGAAGCACTTTTGCTGACCTGAAACGTGATGATAGACACACAAAAAAAAAACACATCATGGTAAAATCAATTCATTCCTCACTCCGCTCAGAATCCAATAATAATATGATTAATTAAAACCATATAGGTAAGTGGTTCTTCAACTAGGTATAAACTTAAAATAACAATATTTCGATAGTTATAAATAATATTAGTAATAATAACTAGATTTTACTTACTTTCCATTTTGAGAAATTGTGAAGGATGAAACTCTTTTTCCTTCTAGGTGTTCTTGAAAACCTTTACATATACATTTATATTTTATTTATTAGCTATAAATGCCCTTTTTTTAAAATTATAATCGGTAGATGATCATTTATTTTTTTTTTTTTGGAGTTCGAAAATCATTCATAATTTAAAAGAACCCATTTTAAAAACCAAATTTTTATTTTTACAATTTTATTATTATTTTCTAGAATCTAGAATCAAATATCTGTTTAATCAAACTTATAAAATATAAAACTAATGACTTTCTAATTATCAATAATTATAATTAAAATTTCCAGCTGTGCTCTTTAATTATTTTTATGTATGCAACTTTATTTTTGTTAGGTGAGTATTTATTTTCATACTGTATGGTCTATGCTCATATATTTTTTTAGAATTTTACTGATTTGTTTAATTAGAATTTCAGAAATCAACTACCATATCCAATAAAGATTATTTTTTTTCATCATAACGGATAAAAAAATATTGACTATTTTTCTATCGCTGATTAATTTTACTGAACATTCATTAAAATGGTACACGTGTCTTGTAACTTTTTTTAAATGGTCGCAATAATGAATAATGCGTGCCCATTAATTAAGTAAGCGCCTTTATAAATTGATKTATTAATATGACGATTTTAAGATTATATTAATCTTGYAAAGTTAAATAATATTTTTACTTGACAAATAAATTTCACTATTTTTCTGTTTGAATATACTGAGTCTATTTTAATATACAATGAGTATGTAAAAAATATCTATGGATTATTACAAACAACTTTTAGTTCAAATAATTATTCAAGTCTTTTCTTTGCACGAGTACCTGTATAGGTATAAATAACATTACATAAATATATCTTTTATGGTATTAATAATCTAAAATTGATAGACATTTTTATGAATTTTAATATCTTAGTTTATTTTTTAAATAAAACGAGTATTAGGTATTAGTATTAAAATAATTTGTATTTTAAATATTAGTGCTTATACCTACAAATATTTTACATATTGTTTACGTCACATTATCGTTCTTAAGTTGTAAAATAATTAGTATGTATATAATTTTTTTTTATTATTATTATTATATCATAAAGATCCATAGATATTTGCAGTGATATAATTGTAGTAAAAATGCATTAATATTATAATTTTTGAAAACAGTTTTATGATAGTAATATAAGGAATTCGTCTAATTTAGTGCAATGTAGAAATAGTACTGTGTAGGATAAATCTTATTACTATTATAATATGGTTTCAGAAATATTGATTAATCAATAAATTACATTAATATGTTTAGGTATACTATTAGGTCATTAGGTTAGATTAGAAATGCATATATTATTGAAAATCGATATCGATTATATTTTGAGTACAAATAAATATAAATATTGATAATTTATGTAAAATAATACATACGTGTATGTAAATACCATGCATAATTTTTTTTAAATATATATATATATATTATATCATTTTTGTAATATTATACCAATTTATTATTATTTCTAAACTTATTATATTTTAAAAACAATTAATTCAACTAAATAATAAATATTAACCTAATATATCCCTTGAGTTATTTTAATTAAAAAACAATGTTTGCACAATCTTTATCAAATTATTTGATGATAATTATTATCATTATTATAACTAATTATGCGTTGTAAACTTGTTACTTATGCTGCATATACGATACACAGAGATGATGCATATTCTTAGAAGCTTTACACTATTATAAACCCATAACATAACACGATGTATGTTCTTCGCGTTAATTAATGATCATTTGTTTTCTTTGATATATTATGTATGTGTGTCTCAAAAAATTACAAACGTATTTTTTTCTTTTGTTTCTATGAGATTTAGTGATCATAAATTTATGTGCTTGATACTTAGTAATATTGCCGTTAATCATTTGTCAACACTTTATCCTTCATTTTTCTTTCGAAAAAGATATTTTAACTCATTTAATACGTATTTTATCAAAGTAAACTATTAGTCAGTTTGAAAATTATACATAATTGTATCTTTAAATTATTTTATAATTACATAGGTGCATAATTTAGGTATAACGATAACCTCTATCTTTATAACATGTATCTTATACAATTCATTTTATATTATGATTAGATATATTTATATCGTTTTTAAATTGCTACCGATTATGATAATAGTCATAATAAATGGTATTATTATTTACATAATTAAAGATGTACATTAATAAAATGGCCATACAATGATTATAAAACGCAACAAATATTTAATGACGTATTTTATTATTAAATAATAATTGTACAGCTAGTTCAAAATTCAAAAATATTAAAATTTGGACTACCTTTCATACTATATAATATTGTACCATTACCGCGAATGGGTATTCATTTTTTAATATTTTTAAAAATTATCAATATTTCGAATGAGCAGTCAAATTAAAAAAAAAAAAAAACATAACCTTGTGATTGCTGATCAAATAAATAGGTTATTTTATGGTACAAGAAGGTCTTATGTATTTGCTGAATTATATTAAAATCTACCGGTTAAACGTGAAATTCAACCTAGTCACCATGTGGTTAATTCCTACTAAAATTAATTCAAAGTCTATTTTAAACAAATCATTATACACATTTGGGCTTATTTAAGTATCTAGGTACTTATGTGTTGTACTTAGATACTAAATTCATTTTAAATATAAGTTAACAATAATGATAATACTACAATAATATTGAAACATAATAAATTGAACGTAATTAAAATGAAGGTACTGGCATTTATTATTAAACTTGTTTACTTCACAACAAAACATTTTTGAATCTTTATACTAGGTACAATACTATTAAATACCTACCTATATTGCATATTCATTTACATATATGATATGAATACAAGTAGATTTACTTGTAATGCACATAAGTTTGAACATAGTCATTGATTCAAAAACATTTATTTGTCAATTAATTGAGATTTATTGAATAATTTTTGGTTTCTACTTACAAAAAAAATATTATATTTACATAAGTACTAAAATGCTTAAAAAATTAACACGCCAATTAAAAATTATAATTAAATTGTTACCTACATAATTAATATATTATTATACGTCTGTTAAGACTGTATTTCAAGATAGTTATGTAATTTTTGAGTACTTACCCATAGTGTTGAAGTAAAAAAAAATATACACACAACAATAATTTTTTAAGCGGTTTTAAAGTTATAATWATTATTATGCGTTTGGATTGAATGAGTGCGAACGACTGAACGCTATTCAACGCAACGGAGTGCATTGTGTTGGGTAGCCCTTGAATATAACCAAGGTTGATGAGAAATTTTAATGTTACTATACATTAATGTAATTTTATAAAAGAAAAGATTTTTGACGCGTAATTATATATAAGTAAAAGCATAGGTATTTATCATGCTAAAAAAATATTATATGTAATTTTCAATAAAATTAGTTAATTAGTTATTTTCTGATGGTCCTTCTGAAGTCGCGTTATCACAGTAGGTATTTAACTTTAATTTCAATTTCAATTATCAAACTCATAGTAATTTATACTGTATTAATTTAATAAAATTATTATTGTTTTTTATAAAAGTGAATAAAAATGAAAACATRAAAATACTGTTCTTATATAAAAAATTGTATTCTGTTTTTTTTTGCACAGTTATCTTAAGATTGGAATATTTTTTCACAACCAATAATAACATTTTTTCCGTAACCAGTTAATGGTATTTGTTTGATAGCCAATAGATAAAATACTGTATCTGTCTAACTATASTATAATAATTAATGTTTAATCAATTGAATTGTAACTATAGAAAATATATATTCACATTAATAATTACAGATACATAACWATTGTATGGTTTTTTTGAAATTATGTTATTGTTCTATACTTTTATAAAATTATAATATTATACTATATCATAATTTTTGAATATTGGAATGTTATATTATAATATTATGTTTTAATACCACATAAAATAAAAGTTATGATATACCTTGTTTTCATATTGATATACCTACAAAGAATAATAATTGATTATTTTTATTTTACCTTGTGGACTTTTATACGCTCTTAAATACTTATACACAGTAGTATTATATGTGTTGGTTTTAAATGTCTACTATTTTTTATTATATTTTATTTGTTTAGGCACAAAGGCTCCGGCTGCAGGCCCAGAACTCCCGTTATCTTCTTGTAATATACTTATAGTTATAATAAATTTATGATGTGGCATTTCTTTTATTTGTAAAAAAATATTAAAACAAATATATAATATGTATAATGTCATAAATAAGTTGGGATTTTTACCTATAATTATACGAATTACAAGCAAAGTATACGAATCCACAAATTTAATCACTCTTACGATTTTAACTTTAATGCTTTTCTTAGTATGTTATTTACTTAAAAAATAATTATTATAGGGCAATCATGATTAACTACTWTGCCTTTCTCCAACTTATTTTTCTGTGAGCACCATTATTRAGAAGAGCATTCAAAAAAATCAAATGTTGATTTTATTTAGTTTTTTCAAATTAAAAATTTTATCGATGCCTTTTTATCGAGCAGTCCAAAACTCTTTTCTAATCCTTCTTTTCTGCGAGGAACGTTAAACCGGTGAAACCGGAAAGCGCAAATCGACCCTTTTTTCCATAACTCTAAAGCGCAAAACAAATTTGCGCTTTTGTACCTTGGTAGTGGGATAAAAACTTAGAAATAAATTGTAAATMTATAGTCATCTCCAATGCATAAATTTAGATCATGTATAAAGAAAATTTCCAAATTGGAATATTTGATGACAGTAAGTTGGCTTCAAATTTTAAATTTAATTTTAAGGCACATACTCATTATATTATATTAGTTTAATATATTTATTCATTTATTTATGATACTTGTTTAACTAATTTAAAATAATACTCAAAACTATTATTTTTATTTTTTACTGATTTTTTAAACTAATTTCAATATCACCATTAATGCTTAATTAAATATCAATAATAACGATGATTTTAATAAAATACATATTTTTATGAAATTAATTTGCGCTTATAGTTTATTAAAAAGGTAATTATTTTTGCACTTATGAGTTATTTATTTTTGCGCTTTTGAGCCACGTTTGGGTCATATTTTGCGATTGCCCATTTTTAACTAAAGGTTAGGTTTGTCAAAAGTAAAAAATTTCGAATGGATTTCTTAGTATTTGGAGCAAACGGGAATTTTACTTTCTAATTTTTATCACGAGTAATAATAAATAATATTATGTATAAACATGTATATTATTGTAGAAGATTATGATACAACAGATAATTTAATGACTAAACGGATAAAAATGAGGACATTGTGAAAAAAATCAAATAATTTGCTTAGTGCTTAAAAATGCGTATAATATATAATTGTAAGGCGTGGCTTTTGCGTGAAACCTTGGGATCCCTAAATGGCTAATCTCAAAATCATGTGGTTTATTTCGAACAACAGTATAAATCGAATAAATTTTTTACGGCCGATGAGTTTCTTTTGTTCAAATTTACGTGTTAAAAAGTTGAACTACAATAAATTTATTGTTAAAACATTCTTTTTTAAATAAAATGCTTTAAATTTATTTAAAATAATAATAATAATAACTTTATTTTATCAACAATAACAATAATTATAAAATTTTTATCATTAATTATATATGATTGGCCTCCTCACCGATATCTATGGTTGAAATGTGATTAATAAAAACTAAATACAATTTTAAGATTAGAGTAACAAGATACCTTATACCAAAAATAACAAACTTAAGTTACAATTGAATGCTTTTTTAGCAACGATGACTTGCAACGTGATACAGTAAGACTCTTAATATGTCGAACGTACAAAAAATGTAATAATTTTGAAGTCTGAATATCAATAGAAATTAAATTAATTTATATCAAATAAGAGTAATATTAAAAATATGAGTTCATAAATTAGTAATATTAAGACATAATTTTAGTATAATGTCATCTAGATTAATCAACGTTAAGTCCTTCACAAAACAAGATTCTACATTTAGCTGATTTATAAAATTATGGTGCTTAAGTATACTTGATACAATTACCTATATACCTATACAATACTAAAGTCAATATTGTATCAGTTGCAAAAAACAGTATTGGCTATACACCATAACTTAACTTATTAAAAATATAATATAGTATTGCAGTCAAATATTATTAATTAGTTTTAGTTCATACTTCACGAAAGCTTTATCTATTTAGGCACTGTCCATAACTACAAAATAAATAGTTGAAAAATTTTGAGAAATTATAATTCATAATAATAAATTATATTTAAAAACAATGAGTGGAAACATTATTATAGTTTGCGTTTTAAATAACTTGTCTAGGTAACTATAGGTAACTGAACTACCTATAATATGATTGGAAAAAATGTTAAGAATTTAAATACCAGACTTATCTACTTATTGTAATTATTATTATTTACTAGACAATCGAGTGCCTAATATTTTATCATATTTACCTAATTGTTATTAAATACCTCTATCACTTTCTTAGCAATCCATTAACATTTTAACGTTATAATATATCATTGGTTTTAATTATGTATATCTTAATTTAATGAATATTAATATAAAACTTTTTAAATAAATTGTTTGCATTTTATGTGCATAGTAGTTATACTAACTACCGATGCATAACAATGCACATTGTAGCAATTTTACATATTATTATATTATGTTGACTATGCCTATTGCAACAAAATTAAAATATATAAATGGTTTTCATAAAAGGCGACGCTAGTGCCCCACTTCCCCGTCCAATCTTAATATTCTAAGCTATACAGCCGGTCATAATACTCATAGTAATATTAATTAATTATTATAATAATGACGATAGTGTTCAGTATCAAATTATCAATATGGTTCACAGTGGTCACGCACTAATTTGTTTTTGTCCATCAAAATCGAACAACATCAGGATGTATGTTTGGAAAATGTTTAATACTTTGTCTATATAACACGTATAAAATGTACCTGCCTGTATGATATAGGTTATAATCATATTATCATCGTTTATAGTTAATGTTTTTATAAAACTGCCATAGTGATATACATATTAGATATTGTGAGAAAATAATAATAATAATATATTGCCAAATCGTTGTACATAAATCCGCCAGAAAAAGTTCAGGTCTGCGAGAAAAATAACTAAAAAGTAAAAACACACGTCTTGTATTAATTATATTTTATATATTCTTTAGGCTAGCTAATTTACAATAATTAGTAGTCAGAGAACCCTAAAACAGGTTTCTCAATTCAATTAGTTCAATTACAAGGTTAAAATATTATATTGTACTACAAAAAAACGCGTCAGACGATGAGTGGTTATACTGTTTGATTTCACTAGGTACAATAATAAGGTATAATTCCATTGCGTATCTACTGTGTATAGTGTATTGAAGTTACCGTGCTTGTGACTACAAACTGCAATAATTGTTGGATCAGTAACAATAAATATAGGTATTATTGAAAACCACTGGTTTTTCCCGTGTACATCCAATATAACAGGGTTTTGTTTCGATTTGAATTAAAAAATAAACCATACAGATATGCTGAATTAAAATAAGGTTAAAATGTGTGTCAATTAGTTACGACCAGAAAAAAATTTCATTAAATCATTTGTGCGATGAAGGTTTTGGCCAGCACAAGGTATCATATGTTTTTTTAGAGTTATTTTTTCCTAAATATTATACGAATGTCACAAATCGTCAAAATAATACCTAAGGTTTAGTTAGCAAGAAACAAAAATAACGAGGGTCATTGTTAAAAACCACACGTTTATATGTAAAAATTTAAAAACCGCATGTTTCATTGTTTGGTTAATGAACACACAATAGTCAATTATTTTATACTTTTATCAATGTGGTAGAAAATACGATTTAATATTCCTACATCTTATAATGGTTTATAAATTATAAGTAATAATACACCTTAATTTCTAACAGTTTTTTGTCTATTCAACATATTGTATACTTATCAAATGGTTATGATTGAATAATTATTATTCGTAATTAATTAAAAGCATGAGAATATAATGAAAACAAACTTGATTAATTTTACACTGACATAAATGTAATTTTATTGTAATTATAAGTTTTTTTTTATAAAACGGATGTAAGACAAAAGATTTTGACTGCTGAAGTTATCAAAAAACCCATTTTCATACAACGTGTGTATAGTAATTATATAGCCTTTGTTATATTTTTATTATTAATAAATAATACTATAATAGACAGACTATAAATCACAAGAGTACATTATTTCTTAATATTTTAGTTATTTAATTGTACGCGTTCATCAAATATAAGCATTTTATCTGTAATATTTCAGTTGATAAAATCTAGCCCACGTAAGATTAAATATTATATACCTCGAAAGTATTTAATAAATCAATCACGATGATTTTTACTATAGCTGACTGTTAAAAATAAAACAAGTGGGTAAGTAGACTTAATAAATATATATATATATAGGTATAGATGTAATTTAGTAATAGTCATATGCCTAAAATTAATATTTAAAAATATCCACGCAAGCACTTTCGGCATATATAGTCGTCGATCTTGTATATTTTTTTAATCGTCTCAATAATGAAAAAGTTGGTTCACCACTATATGAGGTATCTGGTATAATAGTGAATAATGAAATAATTCATTAGTTTTAGAGAAAAATAATCGCAACGTTTCAAGAACTATATTTGGCTTAATAGTTTGTACCATTTATTTTTATAGATAATAATTAAGATTTTACATTCATTTTTTTAATCATACTAATTTATATTATAATATAACACGACCGATTTATATACACTGATTTAATCATATATATATATTTATTATTTATACATATATACAAAAATGTGTAGGTATGAAACCTTTTAAAGGCATAACTTCACCGAGATTTTCGTTAAAATATATTGTTTTATAATCGGGCGGTGATAAACTCTCCCGATGGTAAAATTTCCCGGGTTAATATTATGTTTACCTGAAGTAAATGTGTAAACTCTCCCGGGTTAACTTTATAGTTACCTGTAGGAAGTTTGTTAACTCTCCCATGTTGTTTTAAATGTTAAAATATTTTTTTAGGAAAAAAAAATGGATTCCCTAACTTTTTTAAAATCTGTATGTTCTTATTATCAAAAACAATAATTTTAATATTTTTACGTATATTTTGTATTTGTAACTTATATCATTATTATTACTATTATTATTGAATATTTTTAAAAGAAACTTAAATGTATATAAGATTTTTTTAAATTTTATTTTTTATTGTATTTTAAATTTTGACTATAATATTATAGCTCATAGCATCTAAAGACATTAATTTATATTGTTATTATTATTATTGTTATTATATATGATCGACTATTATTAAATGCTACTTAAATGTATATTAAATTTATTTTATGATTTTTACTAGACCTGGGAGAGTTTACATGTTTCCATCAGGTAGTACAGGAATAGACCTGGGAGAGTTTACATATTTCCGTTTGGTAGTACAGAAATAAACCCGAGAGAGTTTACACGCTTCCGTCAGATAATACTGGAGTAGACTTGGGAGAGTTTACCATCAGGAGAGTTTATCATCGGGAGAGTTTACAATCGCCCTTATAATCAGATTCTAAATATTCGATAAAAGATTTTTTTTTAATAATTATTATCTATTAGATTGTTAGTTTCAAAATTTAATCATCCGGTTTGATGACCAAATAAATGAAGCATTTTTATATTTTCTTCATCAGCTAGTATTTTAAAAATATTTTTCAATCTCAGCTAAAGAATTATCTGCCACATTTTCAATAACATAAATAACATTTTGAACATGTGAATAAGCTTAGACAGCTGCTATAACTTTAAACGTTGTTATATTAATCTTAACATTTTGGTAAAAGAAAGAGATAAACCTTAATTTAGTATATTTAAAAATTGCACTATTATAAATTTAAGTTCTCCAAGGAGGAATTCAACCTTCAACCCCCTTAGCCCCCCCCCCTTGTATCTGGCTCTGTATACAAGGTACTACTTGCATAATTAATTGACGCAACCATAGGTAGTTTCAAAATATAAATAAAGGAAAATTTTAAAGTTTAACAGATATAGGTATTTACTGCATGGTATATTAATATTTCTTAGTATCTACTCAATGGAGTAACGCTATCGTTTTTTTGTGAAATTATTGATCACATATTATAGACATAACATTTTTATAAACATAAATACTGCGTATATTATATCATAAACATTTGTAAATATACAATATATATAATATATATTAAAATACAAAATATACTATAATTAAAGTACAAAAATCGTAATCGTATTTGTTTTTATATTATATAAGGAGAAATTAAACCCCCACATTTTATGCTGAGAGACACGTAAAATATGGCAAACACAGCCGTAAGTAAAACTAAAAAGACAATAATATATATATAATCATTGGCGTAATTTAATAGACGACACAGAGAAAAAGATGGTGAGATAGAGATAGTCCCTGCACGTTAAACGTAACAAATATTATTAAACGTGAAACGTAAGATTATGTATTTTTAACTTTTTTTAAAAATTTTCACTCAAAAATTCGAACATTTATTATATACATATTTTGTAAGTGTAAGAGTGTAGATCGAAGTGGTGGGCTAAAATAGTGAGCAATGTGGTTATATCGTAGGCGAGTTTGGACAACAGCGTAACGAAGGAGGTATTTAAGAGGTGACTAAAGAGTTTTTTTAGGGAGTGTCATATTATCTTATATTTTTTTAATGCTGCAGATCTTCGAAAACATGATACTTAAAAGTTAAAGCTAATATGTTTAGCGATTTAAAGTGGTTAAATTAGTCATAAAAACGGTCACCTCTGACAATTTTTAAGTTCACTACGCCGATTTTAGGCATTGAGGCCTTATGTTATAATCGCCGTCGTTATTACCTATACCTACTATAAATTTAATTATTGCTTGTCATCGGTGTAGTCATAAGAGATAGCAACTTGTTGCTGCCGCTGCTGCTGCTGCTGCTGGTGCTGACCGTATTCCGGTTCCGCGGACACTTGTTGCACGTATTTGTACGACGGCACGGCTATGTACTTGTATTGAACAGCTGGTTGTTCGTACTCTTGCTGCTGGAATTGCTGCTGCAACTGTTGCTGCTGTTCTTGTTCCTGTTTGAACGAGTTCTGTTCGTATTTGAGTGCGTATTTCAACGAGTTGGTTGGCTCTTCCGCGGCTTCTGGTTCGGTAGTCACCGCTGGTGGTTGTACGTACTTATACGTCGGTGACGCGGCCAGGTACTTGTAGCCCGACGTGGATGGCTCTTCGAATTTACCGGACTGTTGCAGGGCAACGGCCGACGGCAATGATATATACTTGTACGCCATCTGCGGTTGCGTCAGATACTCATGCTGCGGAAATACAAACATCCAAAAATTAATAGTATAAGTACAGAAGTATTACATAACGTCATCCATATTTAGGAAGTAAAATGACTTAATCATGCACAAGGTATCATAATATTGTTATAGTCATGTTCTACATGTGCGTACACCGTTTTTATATACTACACTATGATGAAAAGGCAAAATATTCCTAAAAACATAACCTAAAACCTAAATATCCTACGTAAATATTAATTCAAATCTTCAACCTCTATTATATAAAAGTTGTGATTAGGAACAAAATATTGATGACAGTTACACGTATCTGGACCAGACTGTTTTCAATATATTTAATTTACTTTCCAAAGTCAAACAATCAATAAGCTACTGATATTTAAAGGAAATTCATTTAGTATTTACCAAAAAATTGATATATTTTTTATTTAAATAATTATTAATTGATCATAATTACTCATGATAATATATTCATATAGATTTTAAGTAGTTTAAATTATTATTTTTCAGTTTATGCATAATAACATATGTTTGTGAGTAAGAAATCTTGACTATTTACCTGATTCAAGGTCCTTCATAATTATTTAAATTCATGATTTTAGATAAAAGAAGAACACATATCTTTTTTAATTACTCCTAATTTAATGCACTGGTGATAATAATTATTATTAGCCGTTAGGAACAAATTGAGCTATGATTTAAGTGTCAACGAGTTTCAAAAATAACGTTTAAAATACAAATGTTCATCAAGCTCCACTGGTATACATAGCCTGGGGCTCTTAATCGAAAGTTAATATCTAGTCAACGATATTTTGTATTTATTACTGTATTATAATTTATAATGTTTAACTATAGATCAAGCAACAGTTTGGTATATTGGTATATTTTGTACGTAATCATTCGCGTAACTGGTTTATTTGACAAACCTATTAAAATCAAAATGATTAAGTTCAGATAGGTGTGTAATGGGAAGTTGTTATCTAAAAAAATAATTGCTTGCTGTGAAATTGAATTGAATACACACTCTAACAATAAACACATATTAAGTACATTACAGATATACGCTCATCACTGTCACAATGCTATGATAGCATGCTATATATAGTTTCCCCACTGTGTTTGACCCTCTTAAAAGTTTTTTTTTTTTAATTTCTTTTTTACAAATTATTATTGTCAAGTTTTACATTTATGTTAGGTCCAAAAACATATTAAATTTTATTATGTTTAGCACGTCATGCAGAAACGCACACTGCACATCTAATGAAGATGTTCAATTTATAAATTTAAATATTTTTAGAATAAAAAAGCGGGTAAGTCGTGTTTGTCGCTCTGCTGTACAGTAGGTTACAAGTGGGTTACTGTAATGGATGGGATTAAATTTGAATCCAATGATATTATATCATTGCATACGAAAAACGATTCTGAGCGAAGACGATTTATCTGTCTAGGATATATTATAGATTATTAAAAATTTTCAAATCTTAGATTTAAAAAGAAATTTTTTTTATGAATTTCYAGTTTGAAATTATTTGCGAATTTTCGTGATTTTTACATATGTTGTCAAAATTCAAACTTTGAATGCTTGTAAAAAAAAAATTGTGAACTACGCATATCATCTTTTATTTTTCAATTTATATTGTAAAAATAT